AAGGTTCCAGCTTGTTTGCGCTATATTGTTTTAATATTGAAATTGAGAATTTTTTGTACGTGACACATGATCCTACCCAATTTAGATTTTGTTTCGGAATCGTTCACGGTAACGTTAGACGTTTTAAAATAAAGAAAAATAAGTTAAACATTTAGGTAATACCTGACGTATAAAATATAAAAAGGTTTTGAACAAATGATTTTTTATGTTAACTTTACTGAGGCAGATGAATATTATTTTTTTTTTAATTCGATACATACATACTATAATTTTGTAAATAAACAGACATCATTTCAATAATTTTGAACGAATTAAACGGATTTGAAAAATTGGCAGAGCAAGGAAATGTTTTCTAACGTTACCAACTGTATAAAAGATATTTAATAAGGCATGAATTAAAATTATACCCGGCATTTACATGGTTGATCAAATCACATTTTTAGGCAGCTGCAAATATTATAAGTGCAAAATATATCGCAAGTACAGTAACAGGTAATTTGATCGTAAGCATTCATGAAATAATGCAATTAAACGAAAGACGTATCCACGTGATATCTTAGTATTGACTTAAATACTTGTATGTTTGATGAACGCAAATAAGGGATTTCAAAAACCAAAAAATTTATTTATATCAAGAAATAAATCGTGGAATTATAAAAAGATATGCGATACATTTCCTTTTATTTTACCGCTTTGATTAGTATAACAGGACGATATTTCCAAATGTATCTATCAATCTATTTATATCATGTACGAGTTTTTTTTTCATGTTTTTCGTGCTGATGCATGTAACCTGCATTCACGATTTTTATGGGAGAGAATTCAAGTGTAGAGGATTGACGAAATTATTTTTAACTTTTTGTAAAAAAAAAATAAAAAAAAAATCATAGTTTTCATGTCATTTTTCTTTATACTAGGAAAAGAAAGCATGTGCAATAGTTAGGTTCAATGTAAGGAGACTTAGGGCGGATTTTTTTTTTTTTGTGTGAGAAAATGAATTTCGTCCTAGCGATTGATGTATTGAATAAATTATTTCTCGATATCCCCCACCTTTTTTTCAAAAAAATAAATTATTCTCCAGAACCTTCTTTAAAGAGAGAAAGAGGCTCTTTACCAATTCAGCTCGAGAATTATACAAAAGAGGATTTGAGATGTGGGGATAATGCATGTAATAAAATATATTGGAGATGAAATTAAACTTTAATTGAGGTCTTTTCGACGAACCAATTAGATTCCAGGCTAACTTAATATTATTACTATTTTTTTTTATTCTATTTCGCAAAAAGCAAAAAAAAAAAATCCACTAAATCAAATCAAGGTAAGTTTGGACCATGTGAGGCAACCAAAAGGACAAGGAACAAACAAAAATAATGAGGCAACGATTTAATTTCATAAAGTCGTACGTCACATCAACTTTGGTATGGTTTGGAGTCAATTTTTTTTAATCATTGTTTTAATGCGACACAAACTTGAGCACTTGTATGCAGAATTTTATTTTAATTAAATAAATCATAAAGTATTTTCTTTTGTTTTGCTGAGCTTAACGAAAAAGAGTTCATTGATAACGAAAATCAAAGGTTGTAATTGGTGAAGTTGTAGATCATTCATGTAGATATTTATTTAAAACATCAAATGATAAAACTTGCGAGATATTACAAGCAAAAAATGACTCCAATTTTAGAAATATGATAATGCGCTAAAACTACTTATGAGTTGAAAGCAGGGAAGGGTCGCAATAGAATTTGCATAAATGAAAAATACTCGTTTAATACGGCTGACATCCAATATCAGTTGACGAATGGTTTACCTCAAGCTTTATCAAACATTAAGTTTCATTTATTACACATTTTTTAATTAGTTCGAGATTCCGTTCCTTGGAATTCTGATGATGAAAAAAAAAAAACAAAAAAGAAATTGATTTACAACTTTATTAAGTTAGTATTAAATTTCATGTACAACTATTTGATACACATCACGTCAATTCGATCATTCCATTCGGTTGTTTAATAATTATGGTCAAGTTTGGTAAAAATGCAGGTGTTTTTAAGCGCTTCTTATATATTGTTATATTTAAGCTATCTCAAAAAAAGCGAAAATAAAAATAAAGTGTCAAGGAGGTAATTAGATAAAAATTCTTTTTAAATCCACATATATGGATTATGGTCTCTCTCTTTTAGCATGTCGAATTAATGTACAATTATGACAAGCGAAAAATTAAGGTCACCTTTTTTCTCGTGAATAAAAAAAAAGCTCGCAATGCAAAATTCTTGGACAATTTTGGGTTTGTATTTAATATTATTGATGCAGAAACTCGGTTTATTGTGTTTTTATTTACGGAAGATCGCTGTTGATTTTTATTTATCTAATATTTTTATCTAATAAAATAAAATTCAATTGATTGACAAAAGGATAATCTACCAATTTCTAAAATTTCATTCATGTTTTTTAATTTCTTTCGTGACGAATGACCTGGATAAAAAATGCATGTCACGTGAAGTGAGCAGTAAACCAATTATATTTTTCAAAGCAAAATTTATCGAAAACGCGTTGTCCGACGATTAAGATGGATAACGTGAGTGATTATTTTTTGAACGTCCATTGTTTCATTATTAAATATAAAAAGGTACGTCCGTGAGAAGATTTTTTGATGTCAAGGCTAAACATGTCAATTTCCTTTTGAATTTTTCGTCCATCCACGCTTAACAACATCGAAAAAAAAAAAATCGGGGGGGAGGGGGAAGGGGGGAAAACCTTTGGATCAACATTCTCAAATAACGCAATATAAATAAATAAATAAATCAAAATTCTCGGTTTTACATGCACGACACAAATCAAGGAGTCAATAGTGAAAAATACCTTGTCATTTCACCTCATGAAATTAATAATCATATCATCCTGCCAAATTATTGACAGGTTTGTTGTTTAATGGTAGAGTTTCACACGTGAAATCTTAACGAGATTTTTAATTATAAAAAGAGTCCAAAAATTTCAACAATTAAAATTTTTTTTTTTTTAGAAAATAACAGAACAAAAAATTGTCTCTTAACAAAAAGTTTTTATTTAATAATCTCAAATTAAACAATTGTTAACAATTGTTCAAGAAACCTTCCTTATTCAAATTGACGTTCTAGATTAAAACATGGATGAAGCCACCAAAAGAAAGTATTGTCACCTTTTGATGTTTGACGTTTCTGAACAAAGTCAAGAAACAGCTCTAAAAAACAATGTTACTGATCAAGGTGATAATGTAAAACCTTGTCTCAATAACTCCTCACGACAAACGGCAACAACCATTGCCCCATCGTCACTTGCAAACAAATCCATAAAGCAACGAAAACCTCGTGCAAGGAAACCTAAAAGAACACCTCGACCACCAAATGCATTCATCTTATATCGAAAAGCCAAGCAACCCGACGTTATCGCTCATAGTAAAAACTTAACAAATGCTGAAGTATCAAAAGTTATATCAAAGATGTGGTGGAGAGAAACTGAAGAAGAAAGGTTTCAATGGGAAAAACGAGCCGATAGAATGAAATTAAAGCATATGCAAGATTATCCTGATTACGTTTATCAACCAAAGAAACCTGGTACCAAAAAGCGAAAATCCCAACGTGATAAATCCATGAGTGATGTGACTTCCTCATCAACATTCTCCGTCATACCATCATCGGAAAAGAATTCAACCACATTACCCGATGAAACCATCGCCGCAATTGCCGAAGTCGCCTTCATCGCCGGATCCAACAGGTCCATGTCCCCGACATCCGATAACCATTCACTACCATCTCCTCCATCGTCCACCGACAGGTCGCCAACTGATCAATCACCAATCATATCATTGCATAATCATCATCACATGACATTTCATCATCACCATCCCAATTACGCTGCTGTTTATTCCCAACTTCCACCAACTCCAGCGACCGAAGTATATGATATCACGTCACAATATTTGTTGCCTCCATCTGATAATTACATTTCACATGGTCATTTCACCTCGCAACAATGCTTTAGTCCGATTTATGAGACCTCTTATGATTCTCATCCAAACTTATCAGAAAACTTTGATTCCTTCCTTGATGCTCAACCCGTAGACAAATTTTCCTATTTCATCGGCCAAGATGCATACGCCGCGTCGTCTTCTCAGTTTTCTTATCCTTTCAACTGTTATGATGTTACATCGGCTGACAATTACGCCAATTTATCCAATTCTACAGGTGAAACGAGCGTGTTACTCAATGAATTCCTTAACAATGGTGCAACAATTTCGCCACCAGCTCCTACGATGATCGAAGGTATGCCAACCTATTTTGACGAGTCACATCAAGTCTCATGCTCAGCTCAGCATCTCGAATAGGACAATTTCTTTTGAAAAAAACAAAAATTTTTCGAAAAATTTTCTTGTTTTCTAAAAAGCAATATAAAATATAAATAATAAAAAAAAAAAAAAAATTTTGATTAAGCATACTAAGCTAATATTGTAAAATTTTATCTTTTCACTTATTAAGTTTAGTGCATAACGATTACGTTTTTTAAAACAAGAAAATTTCTCGACAGAATGAAAGTTCCCCTTATTACATATCAATTCCCCACCCTAAATATTTCTTTTCTTGTAAACATAATTAAGCAAAAAAAAAAAAAACCACTTTAAATTGGGAGGGCCGATTTCTTTTTTCTTTGAAAAAAGAAAAAGAAATTTCAGATTCTATGAAATATAATAGTTTTTTTCCTTTGAATTTAAATGAACATTAAAAACGAACATTATTCGGCGTAATTATCGTAATTATTGAATTACGCTAAATATTTTTTTTCTCTTCTTCATTACTTTAATAATTCTGTTTATAATTACTTCTTTTTTTTTTTTTAACGTTTTTGTATTAATTCCAAAAAAAAAATTTTAAAATAAAGTACCGAATTTTGATTGGTTGAAGTAAATGAATTTCAAAAAAAAAAAAAAAAGGGGGGGGGCTCAAAATTATAATAAATATTGTTCTAATAAATTATCTTCTGACGAAACATTCAATCTCTTCGACTTGAAAATTCGTTGGTATATCTACAATTTTAGGATATGAATGCGGATGACTTTCCCAAGTCATAACACTGTCAGCGGCATTTAACTTACAGTGTAAATCTACACCGGCTCCAAATGCCACGTCTGGTGTGATAATGTTTATAGCATTTCCATGGCTGTCGGCATTAACATGACTAACTCATTAAAACTGTATCAAGTTGTCGCAAACTTGAATATCGAGGAAATACATCAATTTCCAATATTTTGTTAGCAACCATATGAAATTCCCAAATTTTATGCAATAGTTCTTTTGGTAACAACTTTTTATAAGGTAAGACTTTATAATAAAATCATGTGATGAATCTTTTTTCCATGATTTGACGTCCCTAGAAGCAGTCGGAAATCGTGCCAAGCACCACTTGATCAGATTTTCCCAAATTACGATTTCATCCAAATAAAAATCGTCCCAAATGAGTGTAACCGATCAGATTCAATTAATCTTTCGGGTTCTTCACATATCTTGCCTAAACAAAAGTCCCATAAATCGCTAAAACAGTTCACTCTGATAAGTTTCCTCTAATATTCCTATAGGAGTTTGATTCAAAAACTCTTGCTTATTTTGAATCAAATAATCTTGAAGGCATGTGACCAACGTTTGAATATTAAGCTCATCGACGGCAATCAATAATTTCAATATGTCGAGACCTTCTAAATCCGTCAAATCAATATTTCCGCTATAAATGAATCTAATCAGAAACAAAGAAATTGGATTCGTTTAATTACACGTAGAATTCGTATCGCAATACAAGTTTGAGGATTTTTTACATTACTTTAGAATCATTGTAAATAAAAATGGTGAAATGTTGGGCTTTCGGATAATAAAGTTTCCTTCATCGTCGATATCAGCCCAATCGTTAGAGAGTGCCGTATTAAAGTAAACCGACCTAGCACATAAAATATTTGAATGGGCGCGTAATTCTTTCACTTATAATCTCTTACAGTTTCCTCCCAATATTGAAAGACATTTTAATTTTATTTTATACTTTCACACGGTACCAGATGATACAAATAAATGCGGTTGCTCTGATGTGGGAATTTTAAACTTTATTATTTTTTAGCCAAAAATGAACGTAACCTTTGATTCTAAAACTTGTCTCGATATAGTAAGAGTATTCGTAATGAAAACGAAATTGATCAGCAACCAATTTTATCTATTCATGATCATAAAATTACTCCTCCTGGTAAAATTTTTTCTTACGGATGCTATAAACATGATTTGGGGTTTTTTTTAATTATCATTCGAATTATTTCTCGGAGAAATAAGGATGAAAATTACATTTCGATAAACCGACGATTTATTCTTTGAGTTTATCTACATTAAAATTATATGAACTGAGTTTTCAAGTCAGTTTTCTTGAAACACATCGTACCATAACTGAATTTCTAACGATTCTTGAAATTTCATAAATATTCGATTACATCTCCAATAAACTTCGTATAAATAAATAATTTAAGTGAAAAAAGAGTTTGTAATCACGCAATTTTATACATATATAAAATAATTTTTTATTGAGATAAAGATATATACTTTACAAATGTCAATTTACGATAAAATATTATACATCAAAAATATGTATTTTATCTTTTAATAACTTGAAATACCTCATAATCATCTGGTTGAAACGGAGTTGGATTACCAATTTTAGTATAAGAATGTGTGTTATTAACATAACTAGAATTATTATTACAATGAATATCATGGCCACCACCAAATGTTGGACCATAATTTTGTCCACAATATATAGCAGTACTACCATCATTCTTAATATAACCTACTTCTGCAGTTTGAAGGTTTGTTCTATTTACGAATGAGAATATATAACTATCCTTAGTTGACTTATAATTATCACTTTGAT